CCTGAAACCATGCTTGGACCATTCGAGAACGATGAAACTGAACATTATCCCAAACTATTACGTAGGTCACACCATCAGCTCTACAGACCTGATTTAGCTCTTGTCCTCTACCATGTTCACCCACACCTCTCAAACGAGGCCCACAGCCAACTCTCTGGTGAGGCCTAAGCCCTCCTCTATGACGAGGCCCAAGGCCACCTCTCAAAAGGGGTGCTTGTCCCCTTCTATTCCTTTGACCACTATGTATTCCTAGCCTTTCACCTTCCACTTCTGGCTCCATGTCCTCACTATGTTGAGTAGGCTACTACAGTGGGATACCTCTCATCTTGCTTATATATACATACAAATATGTGAAATCAATCAGCAGTAATGAGTGGCCATTAACTCATTAAAACCACAAAAGCAATTATGTAAAAAAGTGACATCTTGCATATAGTAATGCTGAATATGAAATTGTGTTCTGTAAAAGTGGTACATGGGACCATAGACACTATATCTGGTAAAGAATGAAATATGACATTTATAGATAATGTAGTCCACCTGGGGTCATATTCTGTGCTAATTGGTATCAAATGATCCTTCCTGAAACTGTCATAAGCTAAACATATTATAGTTGGATCTTTATAATGAAATTAATACACACCAAACTCAGATGTGATGTGTGATTTGTATTTTGAAATAGTAATACTTTGATGTTAAGTTGTGTCATTTTGAACCAGTGATTTAAGTTCAATGAACCAATGATCTTTGGCTTATATGTATTGTATCCAAGCATTTGAAAAAAATAGTTAAGTGTTTTGAAAAATGTGCATTTTCATCATTGGTTGTGATTTATGTGTCTAAAGTTTTGAAAAATGACATGAAGGTTCTGTTATTAGTGCAAAAGTGATTGTACAAAACTGTAATACCGTGGCAATTCTTGTTGCATACATTTGCGATATTTCTTGATTCTCCATAGCGTGACCTGTATTTAAACGTACTACAAAAATGCAATATCTTCTAGTACCGTCGCCTTTTTCATAATATCCCACAGAATTTTTCCAATTCATTGGCAGAAGTCCATTGTTAGACAGCGTCATTTTGAGTATTTTTTAAATTAAATAATTTCTTTGAACGTCAAAAAAATACATCCTAATAAATAATGAGCAATTCATGAATGAGTTATAGAGGCGGAGAACGAAGTTGGTCACGTTAGTCAAACAGTGGTGACACAGATTACATCATGATGGGCATAAAACGCAGAGGTACGAAACTGAGCTGTCACAAACTCTAAGACGCGCCACCTTTAATTTTCAGTTCGTTCAACAGATTTTCGGGATATTTTCAATGGAGATTCATAAGGAGAAAAACAAAACGAAATCAAACAGCAGGTTTAGCAACATCAAGGTATGTATTATTATTATTATTATTAGTAGTAGTAGTAGTAGTAGCAGGCGTAGTAGTAGTGGTATTTATAGCACTGAATTGTTGGTAAATAAAAACACCACTTTGCGTTAAATTTCACTACGAGCTCACTTAATTAATTTGACAAAGTATTGATTAGAAAAATATTGTGCTGTAGTTGCGAAGTGTACAAACATGGGTGTAGCCTACAGTGGCGGTTCTACACTGAATTGCACCCCGGGCGAGACTCCCTCCCGTCGCCCCAAGCCATCCCCCCCCCCAAAAAAAAACATGACAAAACTTCACATTTCGTACACACCACACGTTTTATTGTAGTAATACTACATGTCGTTCCGTAACAGACCAATTTTTTCAAAAAATAAATAAACTACTCATACTCTGTAAATATACTCACGCAGTTGAAATTGACATCAAAAGACTGTTGGCTACAATATTACTCTTAAAAATTGCAAATTTAAATAAACATGCCCTAACATGCTAAATGTCTGTCATTAGACACTTTATTAATCTAATATAATGTAATCTAAGGGAGGAACAATTAGCTCCTTGGTTAATTTACTGCCTCAAATTATACGCTTTGTCACGTAACAGAGTTATAGCAAATGGAAAATGTCTTTTAAACTATCTACACATATGTAAATTACACTGGCTATTTACAGTATACTTTAAATATATTGGCTATAGCCAACATTAACATAAACAATGGAAATAAATAACTGTACAACTGCAACAGTTTTGTTGCAAAGCATAATTTTGTAGTTAAATTTAATTAGATCTCATGTTGTATACACTGCTGAAAAAACAATAGAACCCTGCCCAAAAATAATAGAAAATGTAATGGATTTAATGGTTTTAATGGGAATTGTATTGGTTTTAATGGTAAGTATAACAATGTCTGCTGGTATATGATGGATTCTATTGGTGGATGGGATGGTAAATCCTATTGGAAAAGTGCCCAAAACACACTACAATAAGGAATTTTGTAATAGTTTCACTGGAAAAAAGTTAATGGTTCATATTGGTATTTAATAGAAACCATTAGAATTTCTGTGATGGTTTGTATGTTAGGCTTTTATTGTGTTTTTTTTAGCAAGGTAAGCATAGCAAGCATCATAAGCAAGAAGGCTAACAAACCTAAGAGTTAACGTTATACCACTAATTAACATAATGACATGAATACCTTAATCATACAGAGAGAACATTGTTGCATACCTTTATCTTTTGCCCATTTCTCCTCATCTTCTTTTCTTTTTTTTCCTAAATTGGGCACCTGACAGCTTAGCCTTTGGCCTTTTTCTCTCCATCGCTGTGTTTACTTTTGAATTTCGACAATCAATAGATTTCCCAACCCCCAACGCTGTCACTCACGACCAAAAGTCAAGACTAAACCAATTCACCTCCACATCATAATCGTTTTTTATTACCTATTTTTATTAGCCATTTCACACAATTAAATAAATGAAAAAAGTGCAAATTATTGGTCTGTGTTTATAATATTTTGAATGAAATGTGCGTTATTTGTAAGAAAGTCAGGTGTCACTGACATAATTTAGCCCCCCTCCTTGTCCGCTTCATTTGGGAGAGGTGAACTGTACTCTGAATGAATGATATTCGGTACTTAAAAATCTCAATAACACTCATTCGGTAAATAAAAACCATCTACTTTCAATAGTAATTAGTGAATAAGAGTTTCAAAACTTCACAGTCAAAGATATGATCGTATTTTAATTTTAAAATATTATGCAATATATATTGAGATTTATGAAAATCTCAATATAATCTGACCCTAATCAAATTACCGTTATTTACTCCCTCTAGTGGCTATCCTTGTGTAAATACACTTTTAGTAAACATTTTTCTCGATTTCTTTGGGGCATTTTTCAAATGACAAATAACATTTGCAAAACAGCTACTGTAATCCCCACACCATAATGTCACTTCTGCACAACAGAATATCATTTCTCATTGCTTCACACAGATTTCCAAATGTTTCATTACATGTATTCAAATGGTTTTGTACAGTTGTCACCATTTGGCATAATTTTTTCAGTCGCTTTATTCTTATTGGTCAAAATAGATCATGTAGTTTGCTGTTGTAATAGTTTTATGCCCAAAACTTTATATGTAAAGTGATCATTGTATTAGTCACCACATGCACCCAAGCTTTCAAAATGATTTAAAATATATTCCAGAAATTGCAGTGATACACCATTATTCCATTGTGTTTTTGGTTACCAAAGTACATGATTTTGTTGTTCTTATATTTCCATGTTGCTGGTTTTATGTTATGCAGCGTTGTGTGACCTTTGTGTTTGTTCTTGTACTGTGTCTTGATGTTTGAAGAAGTTATATGTGCATGCAAGTGCTTTCTTTTCAGGTGAACCTTACATACTGTAATGTAGAACCTGGCAATGTTGAAAATGGTGTCTTTGAAATGAATAATTATCAGTTTGCTAAAAACAAATGATCAGTCAGTGATAAGAAAGTGGGAACCAAGTGTTTTTCATCATTTTCAAGCTCAAGAGCATACCTACACTGACATACTGATAATACTGTATATCTCAGGGGTCATCAACATGGCGCACCAGGATTCCTCAAAAGGACCACATGAGTCACCCGCAGACCTGTTCTAAAAATAAGGTTAAGGTTAAGATTACTTTATTGTCATCAACGGCTTTATACAAGTGCAAAGTGTGATGAGACAACATTTCCCCATGGCTCCGGTGCAACATCTAGTAACACTGAACAACACATACAACAGGGCAAAAAGCACTGTTAAAAAAAGCAAAAATAGCACAACACACCAGTGAGCAGCGCCTAAATTAAAAAAAAAAAAAAATATCCTGTAATTATTCTTCTTTAATCACATTTGCATTTATATAGATTTGAAAATGACAATATCTTAAAAAAAAGCATTTAAAACATGTTTATTATACATGAAGTTTGGATAAGTTTACCTTAAGAAGGACATTGCTGCCTTAGAAAAGGTGCAAGGGAGTGCTATGAGAATGATTCCTGGTCTTAGAGGAATGTCTTACGAGGAGAGGTTAGCTGAGCTGAATCTGTTTAGCCTTGAGCAAAGGAGACTAAGGTGGGACATGATCCAGGTCTATAAGATTCTAACGGGTCTGGATGCTGTTCAGCCAAATGGCTATTTCAATATTAGTTCAAATACTAGAACTCGTGGCCATAAGTGGAAATTAGCGGGAGAACATTTTAAAACAAATTTGAGGAAGCACTTCTTTACACAGTGTGTAGTTAGAGTATGGAATAGTCTTCCTGCTAGTGTAGCGGAAGCTAAAACCCTGGGTTCCTTTAAATCAGAGCTAGATAAGATTTTAACAACTCTGAGCTATTAGTTAAGTTCTCCCCAAACGAGCTTGATGGGCCGAATGGCCCCCTCTCGTTTGTAAATTTCTTCTGTTCTGATATTCTTATGTTCTTATGTAGGGCATTTCAAACTGGTAGCCCTTCGTATGGCTCAGTACCCGTGAAGTAGGTCTCAGTTTCAAAAAGGTTGGTGACCCCTGGTATATCTGAACGTTTTCACTATCGTGCTTAAAATGATACTGATTGTACTTTTCATTTTGGTGGCACCGATTAATTCACTGGTGGAATTATTATCAGTGTTTTGGGCAAGTTACTGGCTTTTGCAGATAAACCATAGTGTTGTGCTATATGCATGAACTGTTTTGAGAAATGCCCTTACAGTCTTGAGAATGTTAAGTATGTTTCATGAAATGTGCCAAAGCAATTGAGAAAAACTGTAATGTCAAGGCAATATACTCAGGGCTAAAGTATGGGACACATAATCAGCACGCATTACATTGGTTTTCAGCATTGACTTCATTGTTTTACCACTGGATATCTGGTGAAATGTAGCATTATATGAAATATTGTAAGTATTATATAATTTTGCATAATTTTTCATGTTACTGCAGAGGTTTGCAGCAGTACTTTGTAGACTGATATTCATTCTAGTGCAGCACACTAAAGTCCTTTTTGCCTTCCCCTCCAGCTCTTTGTTCTTTGCCAGAGTCTGCTGCAGTTTTCTCAGCTGCTTCATTCTACCTATTTAAAGAGCTGCATCACCACCTTGGAGAAACGGTTTGGGCTCAGCAGTCAGTCCTCAGGTACCATCACCTCCTTAAACGAGGTAATGTACCAACCACAGGCCCTGGCACTCAAGTACTTCAAAGCTTGGTTTATGTAGAATTGCAGTTTGCAAAACAGCTAGTGTAATCCCCACACTATAATGTTACTTCTGCACAGCAGAACATCATTTCTCATTGCTTCACACACATTTCGAAATGTTTTACTACATACATGCAAATGGTTTTGTACATTTTTTGTACATTTGGCACAGTTTTCAGTAGCTTTAGTCTTCATTTTGTAGTTTCCTATTGTAATAATTATACACCCAAAACTATGGGTGCTGGTGTCAGTAGTATCAGTTTACTAAAGAAAAATGATCTGTCAGTGACAATGAAAAAGTGGGTACTAACTATTATTCATGGATAACCAATGCTGACTGTACTTTTAATTTTGGTTGCACTGCCTAATTCATTGGTGGAATTATTTGCTTTTAAGACATGAGTTAAGTTATAGGCTTATGCAGTAAACTATATTGCAGTGTTATATGCATGAACTCTTTTTAGAGTCATGAGAATGTTCCTAGGATCATCCTAGGAGCTATGTTGTCAGGGGCAATCACCCCTGGTAGGGTCTCCCAAGGCAAATTTGTCCTAGGTGAATGGCCAGACTAAATGCGGTTCATATTGGCCCCTATGACAAAGAAAATCAACGAGGATGTTACCTCGCCTGGACTGGCCTGGCCTGGAGCAGGAGCTCGTATGCAAGCGCCTGGTAGCTGGGCCTTTACCCATGGGGTTTCACTGGGCATAGCCTGAAGGGGTAACCCTGTGGGCCTACCACTTGCAGGGGGAGCTGTGGGGGTCAGGTGCAGTGTATATCACTGGCAGTCAAAGGCTGGGGCCTCAACGGACCAATCGATGGTTACCAGTCTATATGTGCTTTGTGGACTTGGAAAAGGCATATGATCATGTCCTTTGGGGGGTCCTGTGGAGAATGCTTCAGGAGTATGGGGTACGGGGTCCGTTGCTGCGGGTCATGAGGTCACTATGCAAATGGAGTGAAAGCTTGGTTGGCATTGCCAGCAGTGGGTGTTGGACTTTGTCACCGATTCTGTTCATAATTTTTATGGACAGAATTTCTAGGCATAGCCAAGGGGCAGAGGGGGTCTGGTTCAGGGGCCTTAGGATTGCGCCTTTGCTTTTTGATGATGACGTGTTCCTGCTGACTCCATTGGCTGGTGACCTACGACATGTACTGAGGCAGTTTGCAGCTGAGTGTGAGGTGGTTGGGATGAGGGTCAGCACCTCCAAGTCTGAGGCCATGGTTTTTGACTGTAAAAGGATGGATTACCCTCTCTTAGGGCGTTTTTCCACCGCACCAGGTACCGTACTTTCGGTACTTCCATAAAGTGCCGAAAGTTTGGTACTTCTTTCATGTTGGTTTTCCACTGGCTTAAAAATTGGTACCGGCGCCAAATGACATCATCAGTCACCGCCCCTGACTGACAGCCCAAAATTAAAACTAACAGTTGAGGCTGGAAAATGTGGTTTATTATGTCAGCTTCTATAACAGTATAAGATTCAGTAAAATCCAAATCATGCTGCCATCAATTACGTTTATGTAGGTACACTTACTTTGGCTGATCAAAGCAGTAAGAATTAGCTTATTGCTAATTCGGTCTTTTGAAAGCAAACAAATTATTTAATTATGTTTTTTGATTTTCAAGCGGCATTGTTCGGTGTTTCGCGTGTGCCCCATTTCTTCCAAGCGGCTTGGTATTACGGTGTTCCGGGCAATTCAGTTTCCCTATGTTTCTCCTGTCTATCAGGAAATAATGTTTCCCCTAATATTAAAGCAAAGAGGTATGTGAAATGTCTGTAAATCACTCAGGTACATTATTACATGTGAATACAGTAGATTGTCACGCATAATATAGTCTTATAAGCAATACTATAGCGTTTTCATCAAGAAATACCTCTATCCAAGTAATTTCATTTATTATCTGTAAAAACAAAAAACACACAAAAGGCATGTGATGTTTAAAATTAATATATGGGTTGTTTACCTTGTAAAAAGACATGAAAACAACAGTGAAACCGTGTACAAATCAGCGCGCGACAGGGGAAACATAGGGAAACTGAACTGCTCGGAACGGCAAAAACTTTTTTATTTCGAGTCGTGCCATCCAAATCCCACTGGATCTGTTCATCCGACCATATGGCGATTAAAGCCTGTGTTTCCTCGTTTGTCCATTCTTCCATTTTACTTTTTTATATTTTTGTTTCTACTGCTTTTTATTTTGTTTCTCGCTGTGTATTTCAAAAGGTTGTATTTTGTGTTTCAGCGGCAGGCTATTTGCATAACCAATCGACAGCAAATACGTTTGCAAGTCCCACCCCAAAGTACCGAAGTACCAATGGAGTACCCCAACTGGTTTGGCACTTTCGGTACTCGAGATTTCGGTACTGGTACTCGACCGGAAGTCAATGGAAAAGCGAAAGTACCGTACTTTGTGGGGTGGAAAAGCACCCTTAGTGGTGGATGAGTTGCTGCCCCAAGTGGAGGAGTATCTCAGGGTTTTGTTCACAAATGAGGGAAGAAGGGAGCAGGAGATCAGCATGCGGATTGGTGCAGCGTCGGCAGTAAGGTGGACACTGTACTGTTCTGTCATGGTGAAGAGTAAGCTGAGCTGGAAAGCAAGGCTTTCAATTTACCAGTCGATCTATGTTCCTACCTTTCCCTATGGTCATGAGCTCTGGGTAGTGACCGAAACAAGGAGATTGCAGATACGATCAGCAGAAATTAAGTTTCTCTGTAAGTTATCTGGGCACAGCCTTAGCGATAGGGTGAGGAGCTAGGACTTTGATCGGGAGGGGCTCAAAGAAGAGCTGCTGCTCCTCTGCATCGAAAGGAGCCAGTTGAGGTGGTTCAAGCATCTATCTAGGATACCTCCTTGATGGCTCCCTGGGGAGGTGTTTCGGGCATGCTGGGAATGCCTTGGTATTCCCCTGGAGAAGCTGGAGGAAGTGGCTGGTGAATGGGAAGTCTGGGCATCCGTGCTCAGACTGCTGCCCCATGACCCGACCCCAAATAAGCAGCAGAGAATGGATGTAGAATATTAATTAGAATGTGCCTAAGCAATTAAGAAAAATTGTAATGCTTGAGTTACATTGTATTTGCATATTTAGCAGACACTTGTGTCCAAAGGAATATACACTATATGGCTAGACATATTGGGATGCCAGTACTTATTAGAGGAACTGACAAACTCATTAATAATTATACATTTATGCAATTTCCAGCAATAATCTCTGGGTGAAGGAACGTAGGAGGAACGGAGCAAGTTTATGACTTTCATCTTAACGGCATCAGTTTGCTGAAGTAAAGAAATTATTTATAAATTATCTTGGGTTAAAATGTAGAACTGAAGTGTTCAAACAAGATTTTTTGTTTGATTGTAAATTGATCTATATGTTAAAATTTATTATTTCACATTCATATTTATTATATCACATTCATATTTACTAGATTTAAAGATATATGTCAATAGATTGAAAGAATCATCCAAATATCCTTGAATAAGTCATAGATGTCTTTAACACCCATCCAATTTCCTAACTCTTAATCAGTGCAGGATTGCAGTGAACCTACAGCCTATCGCGTTTAGCACATATTGCAAGCATCAGGATACCATGAATGGGATATTCATCCATTACAGGGTACACACTCAGGCACTCAAACATATGCTAAGGGAAAATTAAGGGCATAAATTTACCTAAACACATATTTTGGGATTGTGGGGGGAAAATAAAATGCTGGCCAGAAACCCATGCAAACTCCATGTACACAGAGCCAAGGATGGAAATCAAACCCACAAACCCCAGAGGTCTGAGAATATAGTAGTATCCACTGAAGGACCGTGCCATTTTTATGTCATCCACATAATTTCTTGAAATGTATTGTATGAAATATAATAATATATAAAACAGGCTTATAGGCTAATGCTAGCGAATTATCCCATTACATTTGCTATATATGGTTTTCACATTTTGACACTTAACTGATAAGTCTCTTCCTTCAGGTGGGGAATTCACTGCTAATCGTGTTTGTAAGTTACTTTGGGAGGCGTGTCCATCGGCCACGTCTCATCGGGCTGGGTGGCCTGCTTATGTCCATAAGCGCAATGATGCTGGCTCTGCCTCACTTCCTCTCGCAACCTTACACATACAATTCTGTTTTACTAGGTAAGAATTAGCATACTGCCTAAAGTAGTACTGGAGTAGGAAAATTTGATGTGTACTATATAACTCATCAAATACCTGATTGACATCATGTTTTTATCCATGGCTAATCCAATGCTTAAATGGAACTGCAAATTTGATAATCAGGGTTCCCAAGTTATGTGAATCATTCATAGCAACACTATAGTTAATTGAGCTATTATGTACGGAAGCCCTGAAGGGCAAAACACACAAACAAATTTGAAAACATGCCAGCAAAAGTGAAAACACACCAGCATTTATGAAAACACAACAGCAAAAATGAAAACACAACAGCAAATTAGGAAATACACCAGCAAAAGCGAAAACACAACAGCAAATTCAAAAACACACCAGCAAAAGTGATATCATTACTTATGTGAAATGTGTATCAAACCCACAGTTCCTTACAATCAATAATGGGCCATGTTAAGGCAAGATGCAACAGCATCTTCAGCAAGCAAGACTTAATGTAGAGCAGGGGTGCCCACACTTTTTCAGCTTGCGAGCTACTTATAAATGACCAAGTCAAAATGATCTACCTACTATAAAAATGCAAAACATATATTTATTTATATATATCCCAAGTATTCTTTATTATTATTATTATTATTATTAATAATTTTCCTTTGGGATAAAGTATTTTTTAATTGAACTGGGATTTTAGTTCCTTCACCTTTTTCTTTCTTAGCTCACTTTTCAGAGGAAAGTTAATGTCACAGTTTTTATGAACTGTCCGAAAATACCGCTCCACATTTCCCTTCTTTGGAATAGCAGTGGTACACTGACAAATGAAGCAAACGCAATTCGAATATGACATTGTGAAAAAAAACTCCTCCTTCCATTCCTTATGGAAGTGGTAGGTTTTTGGCTTCTTACTTGGTCCAGCTCCCCCATTCATTTTTATACCCTTTTTTAAGTTCAGTAGAAATAAATTGGAGTGAAATCTACCCACTCTACCCTTGCGACCGACCAGTAGATCGCGATCGACGTATTGGGCACCCCTGATGTAGAGTATGCGTGACTTTGTTCCGAATGTACTTTTTCAACTTCAGGAAAAGTAGGTTTGTGTTGCATGTTCATAATCACCAAGAGCCACTTCATTCTGCATGCTCGTGTAATGCAAACATGTCTTCAAGCACAATGTGCACCTTAATAAAGACCCCAACGACCCCCCATAGTATGGGCAAAACATTTTCCCTTTCTTCATGTATTGCCCATGTAAGGTGCCGGGACACTGATTGACAGGCTCCCTGACCAATCAGTAACAAGTAGGTACATACCCTTTCCATTTTCAGTGCCACTAATGTTGTAGTGTTTCACTTTGCTGCCGTGTTTTCGCTTTTGCTGGCGTGTTTTCGAATTTGCTGTTGTGTTTTCATTTTTGCTGTTGTGTTTTTGAATTTGCTGTTGTATTTTCGCTTTTGCTGGTGTGTTTTTGAATTTGCTGTTGTGTTTTCGCTTTTGCTGGTGTGTTTTTGAATTTGCTTTTGTGTTTTCGCTTTTGCTGGTGTGTTTTCACTTTTGCTGGCGTGTTTTTGAATTTGCTGTTGTGTTTTCATATTTGCTGTTGTGTTTTTGCTTTTGCTGGTGTGTTTTCACTTTTGCTGGTGTGTTTTTGAATTTACTGGTGTGTTTTCGAATTTGTTTGTGTGTTTTCCCCTTTAGGGTTTCCGTAGTTATGTATTAAGGGCTCACAATGACTTCTGTGTTTGCTAATAGAAAAGAAAGAGCTGTGCATACCTCGAACAAACTTCTCTGAAACCAGCACCTGTGGACAACAGGATTACCAGCAGCTCACGGACACCAACATTATGTGGAAAATTATGACTATTGCTCAACTACTCTTTGGCATTGGTTCTGTGCCAATCCAGCCTTTCGGCATTTCTTATGTGGATGACTTTGCTGGACCCAGGAATGCCCCGCTTTATATTGGTAAACTACTTATTAAACTACTTCTACTTCTTTACAGTAGAAATACACACTACTTTGCATTGATTATATAAATTTATTTTGTTCTGTTTCAGCTGTTCTTTTCGCTGTGTCTGTGTTTGGCCCAGCCTTTGGATTTCTTCTGGGCTCTGTGATGCTGAAGATTTATGTTAACATTGATAAGCCTGAACCAAGTAATACTTCATTTCCTACAATATACTACTTTAAAAATGGGGTTCCAAATGACAACATCACAGATCATGCACCTCACACAAAATTGCTGTCATTCTGCCCTCAATTTCAAATTGAAGCAAAACAACATTGTTAGTTTGTGTTTCTTACTAGTGAAATATCTGGTCTGACTTTTACAGGTAGTCTTTTGGAGCTGAAACTGAGTGACCAGCGCTGGGTAGGCGCTTGGTGGCTGGGTCTGCTGGTCTCCTCAGGGTGCTTGGCTCTTACTTCTTTGCCCTACTTTGCTTTTCCTCGGGAGATGCAGGTAGATGCTCCTCTTTTTACGCTGAAATATTTTTTTTTAATCAGATGATAGAAACTTGTTTCAATGCTCTATGGCTAGTGAATATATTCCCTGAAAAGGAATCCTTATAGCAAGGTGTATCTGCATTTGCATTATAATATACAGTCACCTAAAGGATTATTAGGAACACCTGTTCAATTTCTCATGAATGCAATTATCTAATCAACCAATCACATGGCAGTTGCTTCAATGCATTTAGGGGTGTGGTCCTGGTCAAGACAATCTCCTGAACTCCAAACTGAATGTCAGAATGGGAAAGAAAGGTGATTTAAGCAATTTTGAGCGTGGCATGGTTGTTGGTGCCAGACGGGCCGGTCTGAGTATTTCACAATCTGCTCAGTTACTGGGATTTTCACGCACAACCATTTCTAGGGTTTACAAAGAATGGTGTGCAAAGGGAAAAACATCCAGTATGCGGCAGTCCTGTGGGTGAAAATGCCCCTAAATGCATTGAAGCAACTGTCATGTGATTGGTTGATTAGATAATTGCATTAATCAGAAATTGAACAGGTGTTCCTAATAATCCTTTAGGTGAGTGTATATATATATATATGTGTGTGTGTGTGTGTGTGTGTGTGTGTGTGTGTGTGTGTATTTATACACACAGTATATATTTATACACACACACACTGTCTGGCCACTTTATTAGGTACACCTGTCCAACTGCTCGTTGAAGCAAATATCAAATCATCCAATCATATGTCAGCAGCATTATGTATAAAACCATGCAGATACAGGTCAGATGTTTACATCAAACACCAGAATGGGGAAGAAAGGTGATTTAAGTGACTCGGAACATGGCATGGGTGTTGGTGACGGACAGGGTGGTATGAGTATTTCAGAAACTAAAAAGAAAAAACATCCAGAGAGCAGCAGATCTCTGGCAAAAAAATCCCTTGTTGATGGCAGAGGTCAAAGAAGAAAAATCCATACTGGTTTAAAAAGGCCACAATATCTCAAATAACCACTCATAACAACCAAGGTATGCATAAGAGCATCTCTGAATGCACAAAACATCAAACCTTGAAGCAGTTTGGCTACAGCAGCAGACCACCACACCAGGGGCCACTCCTGTCAGCTAAGATCAAGAGACTGATGCTACAGTGGGCATGGGGTCATCAAAATGAGAGATTGTAAAAATGTTACCTGGTCAAATGAGTCTCGACTTCTGCATCAACGTTTGGATGTAAGGGGCAGAATTTGATGTAACCAACATAAAAGCATAGACCATCCCACCTTGTATCAACAAATTTGGCTGCTTAATACATGTTAAGTATTGTTTAATAAATGCCACAGCCTACCTGAGTATTGTTGCTGATCATGTTCATCCCAACTTCTAATAGGCACTTCTTGCAAGATAATGTGCTATGTCACAAAGCTCATATCATCTCAGATGGGTTTCTTGAACATGACAATGAGTTCACTGTACTCAGTTGGCTCGACAGTCAGCAGATCTCAATATGACACACATATGTGATGTGGTGAAACCAGAGATTTGCATCATGAATGTGCAGCTGACAAATCTGCAGCCATTGTGTGATACTATCATGTCAACATGAACCAAAATCTATGACGAATGTTTCAAGCACCTTGTTGAATCAATTCCACATATAATTAAGGCAGTTCTAAAGGCAAAAAGGGGGCCAATGAGGTACTAGCAAGGTATGCCTAATAAAGTGGCTAGTGAGTATGTGTGTATGTGCATTATATAACTGCTATAATTGAGCTTTTGTGCATTAGGTATTATTTCACCAATAAACATATTACCTCTCAGGCAAGCAAAGCTGAAGTGGACATTTTTACTGAAGATTCAGAGAAGCCAAATATGACATTACTGGAATTCTTGAAGAGTAAGCAAGTAACCAACATTACTGCAATGTTGTTAAATACTTCAGGATGTTACTACTTCAAGTACATGTTGTCGTTGACTTATGATCTGTGCGCTGTACGATCATCTTACACCTGTTCCAAGACAGCAAATGTGGCCATGACTGTGCTGCGTCTGGCAGCGCGAGTGCTGCCAAGCATGTGTGTATGACAGTTTCCACCCAAACTGCTGGCAGCATGAGCATCCCCACGAGACGCTCATTCATTCATCTCATGCTCAGTCTACTGTTCATAGCAGTCACAGTACAGTATACATTCGTATCCATTTGCACCTTAGCAGCTTAAACAGTGATAAAAAGTTTATAACAATAATGAACTAAGAAAATACTGATAAAAAAAACACCAAACAGTATGACTTAAAGATGATATAATTTTATTACACAGTATACTATACATGTGATAATTTTTGCATACTGTATAAAAAAGGGCTGACTTACAGCCAAATTGACTTTGACCGATCATGGTCGCAAGTAGATGACAACCTGTATTTGGAATTTTTCATCCTTATTTTAAACTATTTTTGCTTTTTACCAGATAAAAGGTTTTTTTGTGTTGTAAGACAAAAATATTCATATACTGTATGTTGTGATGAGCTGCAGGATCAATGGACTTATTAAGAAGGTGGTACTTATTAGAAAATGTGCATACAAAGCTGTTTGTAAAGGGGCGATTGGTGAGGGGCTGTATAGTCTGCTGGTCTGCTGGCTGCAGTCAAGGCATGGCTTTTTTCGAGGGGTGGTATGGCCATTGCAGGGCTACAGCTAGTCTGTAGGCATCAGCCAAAGGCTTAAGGGGGTCTCCCTTTTGGCTCATGAAGGAGCTCCCTGAATGAGGAGCCAACAGCAGCTGTTGTTTTGTATGTACAGTTTGTATGTGCAATTGTACATTTCTGTTTCTAATCCATTCCAGTGTTTCCTCGGCTCTTTGTAAAGCTTCTGGTGAGCCCATTTTTTCTACTGCTGGTCTTGGCCCAGTGCTCCTTCTCATCTGTGATTGCAGCTCTGTCCACCTTCCTCAATAAGTTCCTGGAGTGCCAGTATCATGCCCCAGCCAGCTACAGCAGCCTTTTGATTGGTGAGCACAAAGATCATGTCAAAAGATATGCTCAGGACGAATGTTATTCTCAAAGCTTAGGATTCTGTTTCTTTCAGATATCTCTGTTCTACTGTTGAATATCAACCCAAGTACACTACATTCTGCTATATTCTCCATTTAGACAACACAGCATACCCTTAATCATAAAGAACTTAAATCAGTTTTGTTAGAACACAACACTGTTTTCTGCCCCTGGCAGTTGCTCTTCAAGACAATCATATGTCTCATCCCATGTAGGGACAATGAACCTGCCAGCAGTTGCTATAGGGATGTTGCTGGGTGGTGTAATTATGAAATACAGCAACATGTCCCTCAAGGCCATACCCAGGTTCTCCTTAGCCATGATCTTAATCTCCACCCTTCTCTGTGTGCCAATCTTCTTCATGGGTTGTGCCACACAAAGGATTGCCAGTGTCAACTGGAACATTACAGATCATTTTGGAGAGGAAAGGTAGGTCAGCATTTTGTTCTATGGGCCTTGATTGTCATAACTGGTACATAATAATTACAACTGTTTGGTCACTCACTACTTCATATGGTACAGTAATCAGACTGAAGTGTTTCTTTTTTGAAAATCCCAAAATAAGTTAACTTCTGTAGCTACAATGTTGGAAGAATCTGAATGGTGCAATGGTGCATAATCTGAATGGCGGAAAATATTAATCAAATATGAAGTAACCACAGAACAGGCCGCGTTCGCGTCAGGTGGTCTGCAACTTCAGCAACTGTGCATTGAAAAACATATAACACATGGTTTGGAGTGTATTATTCCACATATACCATGGTTACTGAACACCTGGCTTACATGTTTGCACATAAGAGGTAGCCGTCAGGCTTAGCAGCAGGCAATTTTGAAGAAACAACTGACTTATGGTCTTAGCAATGGACTCTTTTTTAAATAAAGATGGTGGCTTGGGTTCTATTTAGGTAAAATATTTAATAGTAGTTGCCTTGGGCGATATCTAATTTTTATTCCGTCCAGACATTTTACCTCAATATACAGGATTTTGACTGTATTTTAAAAACAATGCTATTTTGGCATTTTGAGATCCCCCAAGATGCAGTTTCACTGAACAAAAATATGGCGATATGCTGTGGTGCTACTATATCGCCCAAACCTAAACATTATTCCTAATAATAAATACATTTTCGGTTCCTAAAAATCAGGGCTGTGGAGTCGGTAGATAAATGCTCCGACTCCGACTCCGACGTTTCTAAATCTTCCGACTCCGACTCCGACCCCCCGACTCCGACTCCTCTGTATGTATATACTATGCTAATGTATTTTCTACATCCATTGAAGGAAAGGAAGGCAACATACATGTCATTTCACCACAGAACTACTGGCTAGGAAGCCAACACTCTACTATAATGCCAGATTAAAGACAAACACAATGAAAACAAGGTTTTCACTAGCGCATAGCAAAGGGGAGCCGACGGAGCTGAGAACACACCAGATGATTTTTCCGGCGTTTGACACGTGATGACTCGTTGAACGGCCGAAAAATTGGCAGTGCATCTGTAAATGTATGGGGGGCTTTAGGCTAGGTTCACAGTTCCCTGTAACAGTGGAACGCGACACAATGGAAAGCGGTGCCGCACCTTACCTGTGCATTACATCCCATATAGTGACGCATACAGTCAATGAAAAGCATGCTTCATGGTTACTTGACATGTTCGTTTTGTGGTAACATTATGCACTGCATGCATTGGGCTTTATTCTTACAGCAGAGAAGTAGTTCATTATGACTGTTTGTGAATTGGGACATTTCAACTTACTTTTTTAATTCCCATTTAAATTTATTAGGAGTCGGAGTCGGTTAACTTTTTGCCGACTCCGACTCCAGGTACCCAAAATTGTCTCCGACTCCGACTCCTCGAATCCGACTCCATAGCCCTGCTAAAAATTAATATCTGTGAAATAAAATATGAGAAATGCATAATTTGGAGTTAATTTTGTGCCAAACTTATTAATCAAAATTTTGAAAACCGCAAGCAAATCATTTTCCATATCTTCTATGGCTGTACAATGATACCTCAGTTCTCAAACTCATTAGAACTTGAATTTCTCAAAAGTTGAACCAACCAGTTCGGAAAAAAATTACCTAGAACTCGATCTGAATCTCAGAAGTCAAACCGTGAACGCCAACCTAAGATAACTTGTACGCGCAGGGAAATGAGTCATGCGGCACGTCTCTCATACATATATTTAGACAGTAAAAATACATTTAGACAATGATAGACAGTAACAGTAATTATTATTATATAATGAAATACATTTAAAAATAAAGATTTCTTATAAATTATTTTAATATTAATAATAAACCATTAATACATTTAATTATAATAATATTGTCGTGCTGAGCGGGGACGGAACGGAGACAAAGGCGCAGACGTCAGGGTATCAGGGAATACGAGGTTTAATTACAGGTAAGGCATGCAAAACGCAGACAGACAATACAATGACCGGACTGGGGAAAAAAACTGAAACGCGGACTACATACAGAGGACTGATGACAACATCCAGAAACAGCTGATCACACGGGGCTTCCACACCCTCAACGCCCTGGCTGCACCTAGAAATTCTGTCCATAAAAGCTATTAACAGGTGGCAAAGGGCAGCCCTGGCGGAGTCCAACCCTCACCAGAAACAAGTCTGACTTACTGCCGGCAATGTGGACCAAGCTCTGACACCAGTCGTACAGGGACCGAACAGCCCTTATAAGGAAGCCCGGCACCCCATACTCCCGGAACACTCCCCGAGGGACACGGCTGAATGCCTTCTCCAAGTCCACAAAGCACATGTAGACTGGTTGGGTAAACTCCCACAGACCCTGTTGAGGGTATAGAGCTGGTCCACTGTTCCACGGCCAGGGCGAAAACCACACTGCTGATTCTGAATCCGAAGTTCGACAATCTGATGGACCGTCCTCTCCAGGACCCCTAAATAGACCTTACCAGGGAGGCTGAGGATTGTGATCCCCTTATAGTTGGAATATACCCTCTGGTCCCCCTTCTTGAAGAGGGGGACCACCACCCTGGTCTGCCAATCCAGAGGCACTGCCCCCAGTGTCCATGCGATGCTGCAGATGTGTGTCAACCAGGTCAGCTCTGCAATATCCAGAGCCTTGAGGACCTCCGAAGAGATCTTATCCACCTCCGGGGCTCGGCGACGAGGAGCTTTTTAACCACGTCAGCGACCTCTGCCCCAGAGATAGGGGAGAACTCCATACTCTGCTTCCTCATTGGACGGTGTGTCGGTGGGATTGAGGAGGTCTTCAAAGTATTCCCCCCAACGACCCACAACGTCCCGAGTTGAGGTCAGCAGCGCCCCATCCCCACCATAAACAGTGTTGATGCTGCACCACTTTCCCGCCCAGAGCCTCCGGATGGTGCAGCAGAATCTCCTCAAAGCCATCTGAAAGTCGTTCTCCATGGCCAGACTCCTTCCACACCCGGGTTTTTGCATCAACGACCACCAAAGCCGCATTCCGCTTAGCCCACTGGTACTCATCAGCTGCCTCTAGAGTCCCACAGGCCAAAAAGGCCCGATAGGACTTCAGCTCGAAGGCATCCCTCACAGCCAATGTCTGCCAGCAGGTTCGTGGATGACCCACATCCAGGCGAGGAAAAACATTAATCTATGTTGTTTGTCATCATAAGGGGTCTAGTGCCTATGGTTGTATATTCTGTTATAATTGATACATTCAGTTTTTTTAATTTTTAAATAAATCATTCAGTTTTAATTATTTTTTAAGTTAATTAGTGATAAATACACCCGTGCAAAAATTAATTTACTTTAAAGCTTTAAAGATTTTATTCAAAACTATTTCTTTCACGTTTTGGGGCTTCAGTTGATTCTCCTCTTGTGTGTTACATGAAATGAAATAACACCTGTTTAACAGACACTTTTCAAACAGGGAAAATACTCTGTAATGATTTCATTACCTGGCCAGCTTTTATGTATCTATCTTTCGGTGCTCCACTGTCAGTGTAACATAAGTGAATGCATAAAGCTGACCTATAAACCAAAGAACACTGCATTACAAAATTACTAGGCTATACATAGTTGATGAAACAACCACTCTGTGCACTTGGATCAATCAAATGTTTAGACCGCAGGTGTCTAAAGACAGAAGAGGTGTTGTAGTAGCATTTTAAACCTACATTACACTTTCCACACTTCACCTCATCCATAGATATTAAATTAGGGCTATCACAAACATCTGAACTCATGGGAGTTCACAAACTATGCTTAAAATTCAAGCTCAAATACTCACCCCTAAAAATACTGCAGGGTTCGTGAACCTAATGCAGTGCTTATTTATTTACAATTATAATTTACATGTTCATTGTCTTTGTCCTTATCCCAAATATGTAATATATGAAATTGACAGTAAAAAATATATTTTTGTATTTAAAAAATAAGTCGTTGTTTATTTAATATATTTTTTAATTTGAAGTATTACTATAGCAGATTACGTAATCATATGTTGAGGGCAATTACATGGTTATTACCCAGATACCGTAATTAGCTTTAAACATTTTCTTTGATAGCCTAAGACTTTTACACAATATGGTATGCATTTAGACAAAAAATCTACAAACACCCCTTGATAAAGGTTTCTTATCTTTTTCATGCTAGATAATATATCAGGCATAAAGGGACACAAGGCCCAAAATGGCAGTTAGGCAATTTTAAAACAAAATATTTAAAAATTATAAATGTGCTTCTTTTTTTCTTTTGCAAGCAGATCTTTTAATATGTGCAATCTCAACTGCTCCTGCCCAAGCACTGCTTTCAATCCTGTGTGTGGCACCAACGACATTGAGTATATCTCACCCTGCCATGCTGGCTGCAACAATTTTACCATGGACCCTCTAAATCTCAAAATCCAGGTAAGATCCTTTTTATGATACCAGGTAGCATGGATTTATGTTAACCCTCAGGAGTCTGAGGCCTCTCAGCCACCTTTGGGGTAGTCTGACAAGGTTTGACATTTTAAAATATTTCACCTAATTAAACTCAGCACCAATAATCTGAGACCACTTATTCTATTTTTTGTTAAAATCAACTTTAAACATATACATTTCAAAAACCTATTTCAGACATGCTGAAAAATTGTAAAAAATCGCATTGTAAACATTTCTAGCCAAGACTTTTGAGCTCTGAAACTTATAGACACAGGGGTTGGCTACACATAGGTGAATGAGACATTCTGAAATTTTATGTGGTATGATTACTAAAGTGTTAGGACTTTAAAGTGAAACTTTTTTTCTCAAAGTCAGTGGCCTATACAATGAATATTGATGAGATAGGTGTCCCCACACCTGTAGTAGTTTGCATACTATCAATGGCCCATCAGTCTGGAATGTCACTGCACCCCACACCTATCACTTTGGAAAGGCAGTTTGAAACGCAACTCACAATCACATCACAATTCTGTCATTAAAAATGCCCCACCTTCCGTAAAAAACTGAATATGGAATATGAGGCTAACTTAACCGCGATGACGGATTCCTATAGTAGTTCTCTCACTACACATATGCTTCTGTTTTGTCCTGTTGTAAATCACTTAATTGTTTGTTAAACAGTGGCTCACTTTCTATTAAGTGTAATATGAACAGACACCTTTTTATTATTAGCTATGTTTTATTAAACATAGACACGCTATTAAGTGGAGGCTAGTGTTGGAGCACGGCGTCTCCACCGGGTCCGTGGATGAGAAGAGATTCACAGCTGACACGGGGAGAAGTTGCAAATCACCGGTTTATTGTCTGACAGATTGCAATCCGGGAGCAGCCGTCTGACATACATTCAGCATGTACAGGAGGAGGCTCTGCCATATGTATCAGCTGTATCCCTTTTAAAGCCCTTTGGGCATCTCCCCCCCCTTTCTCAGTACCTTCCCTCTACTTGACAACCACATGTGTGACTCTGTTCCAGCCGGCTCGTACTGTTCTTGGCCTTCTGGAAGGCTAAAAGATAAGTAGGGGCCGCTGATATTCTCTGTCGCCCCCCCTATCTGTTCCGATTAGGTAGCCTTGCCTTGCCGGCGCGCCAGTCAGTTCTTGTTTTGACTAGTTACAGCCTTATAGAATCATTCCCTTTATTTTATTAATTATTCCCTCACTAGACACAACAAATCTTTCATAATGAGTAGAAAAATAAATACATAGCCCTACCACTTGACATGATGTTTTTATATTTCATCTTGACTTGCTGCCACGTTAATTTATAATTTTTAATTTATTTATTGCTGCCACGTTAATAACTGCCAAGTTATTGTTAACATTAGGTTTACATTAATTATGAGTAACATTACAGTAATGGAACTTCAGGGAGCATTACATTACTTAGCAGCATATAATAGGTGACTCCTGAATTGTGTCGCATCTGTTAGCCTCTGTAATTATATAAGAATTATTATTTCAATTCTTTTCAGAAAACACTTCATTGTCTAATACTCGGTCGTGAGATATTTTAGACCACGTTTTATGACCATGAAAATGTACGTATGCATTTTCTCCGTCAGCAATACGTTGCCAATAAGCCTGCCTGCTTTTGTTGGCTGCAGTGGTATTGGACTTTCTTTACAGCGTTGATTTAAACTCCTCATAACCCTGCATAATTAGCATGCAGTCTTCTTCCGTGAAACATGGAGATCGTGCCATGAGTCAAACGGTGCCTTGCACTGCCGAACGTGCTCCATTTATGTGAACGCGCACAAACTCCAGTGCAGTTAACAAATCCACCTCTTAACTGGCGTCGTAGTACTGATTAGCACCGATTGAGTCAACCTGATTTTATCAACCTCGCGTTCGCAAATTACCTCCGGGTTAAGTCTGATTTGTTTAAACCCTCTTCGTAATACAGGCCACTGGTCTCGATACAGAGTTTACGAAATGTTTTGAAACATCAGTCATGTGACCGCCATGTCATTGTTCACGGCAAGAGAAAAAACCTATAAAAAACCCCCAGAAAAAAACCAGTGCGTATTGGGTGTTTGTGGCGCTGTTGGTTTGAGCGATTATTACTATTTGAAATCCCAATTGTATTAGTGAAACAGGTTAGCAGTTAGTGTGATTTAGGCGTAAGTATATAGTGAGGGACATACACTCACCTAAAGGATTATTAGGAACACCTGTTCAATTTCTCATTAATGCAATTATCTAATCAACCAATCACATGGCAGTTGCTTCAATG